GTAGACTTGCGCAGGGTTTATCGCACCCTCTCGTCCCCAGCCACCTGGGCTCGGTGTCAAGGTAGTCGTGAAGGTCGGCAGTGTGAGAGGGTGCAGATGGCTGGCGCCGCCTGAGCCGGCACCCATGAGTGTAACCACCCCTCCCCCCATACATGGCATTTGCTATGGATGCCCATGCCCAATGACGGCTGTCATGCCGTAATTTGTTTCCAGTGCGGCTTTATCGAACCCAACGCGCGAGCACTAACACGAATATTACAAGTACCTCCCGCGCTTATACTGATTTGACCATCACTATTCAGAACTGGGCAAACTGACTCCTGAAACTAGATTCCGGATTGTCAGGTGTCCGTCAAACCCCTCAGCGTTCAAGGACGTTAAGACGGTCAGAAGCATACGTGACTAGTTTGAATCAGAAGCAACCCGAGAATATGCAAGTGATCGACCGGTTGTAGTGGTCCTACGCCGGGCGCCTGTCGCTACTCTGCCTGTCCTTGCATTCACAGTCTGCTGCTCGGCTAGTCACGGCTATGCAAACAGGTTAAGCAACGTCAAGGCGGACTCAAACTGTTGTGATTCATGCCTCACTCTCAGTCGGGTTGCCACACTGGCGGCGCCGGAAGTGTGCTCTCACCCGATTGCCAACTTTTCTCAAGCTGTATTTCTGTACAGAATGTACTATCCTTCCACCTGGCGTCTCATTTCTACTCTTCCTATTCGCGACGGGACTTGCAGCTCGTGAGAGCTAGGGTCTTCCTGTAACTTCAGCTGACATTGCGATAGAGTCAGCAGCTGGCGTAACTGTCGACGCTTGTGAGCGAGAGTAACGGTGTGGCTTTTCAGCGTCGGAGCCTTATACAGATTTGCTCACGCCTATATAGGTGTGTGCAACCTCAATTCTGTCTACTGCAATCGAAGAAATCTTCCACGAAGACAACAGTGTCTAGGTTATTTTTCAAAGCTCCTATGCTGCTCGAGCTTCGAAGCCATGAGAAATACGTCTTGTGGTTAAAGGAAAATATTGGACGTCTCTGGTGGATCGAAAACAGGGTGAAAAAAAAACAAAAAAGGGATAAAATTCATCCGTTACACCGGGCCATGCATGTGCCAGCCATTTAGGGATAGGATCGGCTTCAGGGAGTTAAAACAGCCTACCTTTCCAAGTGTGACGTTCAAGGTATTGTTCGCTAAGTGATCTGGGGAGCATATTTTCAACCTCAAAGAAAGATAACTCAGTCCCTTTTATCACTGATTCTCGAAGACTTCTCTCGGCACTCGCGGTCCCCGGACCGACCTAAACAGAGGGTTTCTTACAGACGGACACATGAGACAGTTGGACAGTCGTTGCCGACAATGGTTCCCGTGTACCTCAGAGTGGGGTGGGATCAGGCGCGGGCAGTAGACTTGCGTGTATCTACCGCACTCGACCCCTACCCAGTTGGGCGGATAAACTGAAATTTTCAAGCAGACCAGAGGCAGGATCAGACGAAGGTGTCTGGTGCGACGTGAGCCCGTGCCTAGGCGGGCAACCACATCCTCAGGTGCGCGTACAACGGATCAAGGCGGTGGCTGTGATTCACTATCATAAAGGCCACATCGAAAAGAAGCTAGTGCAGCCGGTTTCTCTGTCTTGACAGGAGGAACAAATTATCCTGTCAGTTGCTTACCTTCCCAGCCCTGGTGCTTAGTGCACCGTGATAGATGCAAGCACATCCGATTGTTCGGTAATGAGGAATTTGTGCTGAGTACTGTCGAACTGACTCTGTCTCTCTTCTGTCTGCCACACACGGTCCCTATGCAGCATATCAGCATTGCACACAAAGATGGTGGATCGCTCGAACCTTGCATACATGAGTAGCATAGAGGCCGCACTGAGAAGGCGGCCAATGAGTGACCGGAAGAGCAGGTGGTTGGAGTTGCTCATACAATACAAGCGAACATGCGAGTCCCAGGAAGCAATTGAGAAAAAGAAGACTCAATCGCTAGGACAATACGTTTATTCGACTGACGTTTTGACATCCGTCGCGGATTCATTATCATGTCTCTGACGATAAAATTCGCGACAGATGCCGAAACGCCAGGCGAATAAACGTATTGTCCCAGCGATCGAGTCTTCTTCTTCTCAGTTGCTCATACAACCTGCTCCTCCCCTCCTCCCTCAACAGAACACGGGAGTATTAACGCTTCCCGCACATAATATGCTGCAGTTGCGCCAAATTTAAGAAGTTTTGTCCACCCTATGACCTTAATAGTGTTAACAAATAAGGAGTTGTGATCATCGATTAGTCCCCGGCAGAACGCGAGTAGGGGAACCGCCTGTAATACAGGAAGATTTACACTACCTTCCAGGGGAGGCAGCGTTACGGTAAATATTATGGATACGGTTAAAATTTGGATTAGGGTTGCGTCACAAGAATATTTAGCCTTTCTGAAATTCAGTGGAAGGACAACTGTATTATGGGGGGGGCGTTCTTATTCCC